TATATATATGAAAACCAAACAGGTGTCGTGCCTTGAAGGAAAAAAAAAGCCCTGAAATTTATTTTTTAAAGCTTGGAGGCATTTGGCCACCCCACACATCCTCCTCCTCAACAGAAATTTCTTGATAAATGGAATTCCTTCCTCTCCAGTTCCACTGCCCCCCCCCTAATAAGTGTGTGGGAGAAAGATGTGTGAGGGGGGGAGTTCACTCCTACAGACAAGTCCCCCACAGGGAGGCAGCTCAACAAAAGGAGGGGAGCATCTCAGCTGGGCAGAGGCCTCCGTGTTGCTTAGGCGACTGGAGTAATCCCAGAATACTCATGCGGCACTCATTCAAAGGCCTCTGGACTGTGGAGAAAGCCCCACATACTGTGCCTTTGTGCCCCCCCGCCTCCCCGCAACACAGCCCCTACTTCAAACCAGAACGGCTCTGGGGGAAGTTGGGCCACTTCCTCCCCTCTCTCTGCAYGCTGCAGGAGCCGTGGAAAGTCCAACCACAGGGGTCTGGTCTGAATTAGGAATCACGGTCGCAGGATTCATGGGATAAAACMTCATCAGACTGAGTGAAATGATTCAGCAGGGAGGGAAACTCCTGTAAACCAAGATGTTAGGGGCACAAAGTGGAGACTCATGTTCCAGTTTCCATCACAATGAGCAAATGAGTCACCTTCACTGTTGATGGAGTTGGAGTCCAGAGACATGCGGGCGGTCCGGTCTCCTCTCAGTTCGTAGCGAAAGGATGCAATCCTCCTGCTGATGTCCTGATGGGGCGTCGCCTGCAGGAACAGGGCCAGCCTCTCYCCGGGCAGCCGGCTGAAGCAGCGCACCCTCGGAGGCGGGGACGACTCAATTCTGTCCCCGACCAGGAGCTCCAGGAGCCCGTCTCGCTCCAGGTACAGCTGCGCCCCGTTGAACTGGTCGGACGGCTTGACGCAGGCGGTGATGAGGCCCGAGCTGCTGCTGCCGCCGGGCCCCACCGCCGCCGAGGCCAGGCGGGGCGAGAGGGTGAGGCGCAGGGCCCCTTTGGGGTAGAGCCAGTCCAGAGTGCCCTCAGAGCAGTGCAGGGAGATCTGCTCCACGCTGCCCTGCTGCTGAGACAAACCACTGCCAGGGAGACAGGAGAGAGGAAACAGATTTAAAAACCTAAATCTCMAAACCTTTCTTCTTTTTTAAAGCTGGCAGATCTTCAAACAAGAACAGAAGTTCATTCATCAGACGGATGGAGCAGTTGAACTCAGACAACGTGCCACCTACTGGCAGATCTGTGATCATCTTTCATGACATCAGGGCTAAGAGATAAAAAAGTCTTTAATTAAATGTGAATGACACAATTTTGGTGGGACAGACAGAAGCAACTGCATCAACAGTTTGTATTAATCCTGCAGTCTCCTGCCTGTCTGGCCTCTGGATGCCTCCTGCAGGCAGCCCAGGGGCCAAATCTCTGCAGAGCAATGCAAACATTTGAATGACACCCTGCAGGCAAGTCTCAACATGCTGCATCCAAATGATCCCTCTCTGCAAGACCGGCTCCATTCAAACACCTGTAGCATCTCCGAGTTACTTATTGTTCACGTGCTCTCATGGAAATGAAAATAAACAAAATTAAATATACTTGCCTTCCTCTCCAGCTGCACTGGTCTTCGGAATAATTCGAAAATGTAGTGTCAAAAGTGGCTAAAAGCAAAATCCAGGTTGTGTTAATCCAACCTCCAAAGGCAAACATCTTCTACCTCTGATGAATAAAAGAAATAATAATATGTATTCCAAAGCTGTGATTCCTTTTTATTGTAAAGTTCCTGTATAAAAGCTCAGTTCTGATCATCTGCAGTGTTTTCTGCTCTCCTGCTGATCAGACAGCCTGTCTCTGTGTGGCTCTCCGTGCTGCAGTGAGTCAGGGAGACCACAGGGCTCTGAAGTTAAGCTCCGTCGGAAAAACTTTCCTGACCAATCAGGGAGCAGCAGGAGAAACTTTAAACCGCTCACTGGGATGGGGTGGGGGTGTTGTGCCTCCCCCAGCATCAGAATGAGTAACTGTTTGCAAAGATAAACCGCTATTGTGTTTGGAGGTYTGCACTGAAATGAACCTGCACGTTGACAGGCACGGTCAGAAGTTTTCTTTTAAATGAGTGTTGGATTTTATCAGAGCATGGTAAACWAAGTTGTAAAGTAACAACATACAATTACTTCATTATTGTACTGGAGTATAAATTGTGGTTTACTTGAGTAATAATTTTTCAGATGACTTTTTTACTTTTACTAAGTCATTACTCCTATTTCATTTAGCTTCATTCTGGCTTGTTAATGTTAAAAAAAATTAAATTAAAAGCCTATCCAGTTGGCACCTCCTGGATAGAGTGAATTTAACTGTGGTTGGATGAGAAGTTACACATTACACATGACTCAAATCACATCCAGCAGGACATATGATTGTGACAGATTTATATATGTGGATGAAACATGTTGTTGGTCTTCTCTTTGTTTACTGTATAGTCATTATGGCCTTTACAAAAATGTTTTATTGGGAGGTCACCTCCCAATAAATGTCATTTTTTGAAATTCTAATCGCTCATTTTTACTCAATACTTTTACTTTTATTGCTTGAGTACATTTTATATCAGAAATTGACAGTAACTGGCAGCTACGTTAAAACTTTCACTCAAGTTATATTTTTAGAGGMGACTAACCTTTACCAATGTAATTTTGTGGTAAGATACTTGTACTTTTACTCAAGTATCACTTTTAGGTACTCTATACAAGACTGATCATTATAATGTATATATTTTTTGTAATAGAGTTGTTATTTTCTCATGTTATATTTCACCAAAATCCTGTTTTTGTTAATTATTTTGTTATTTATTTTGCCCACMGTTTACTTGGATTTGATTGTTTTTGGGAGCTTTTATTTTGAACTACATTGTTTGCATGGTGTCAATTCCAGATTTTAGTAAAACCCAGAATCACTAGATAAACATCCTTCATAATCAGAAGGACTAGATGTTTGATCTAAACCAACCTAAGAATGGCTATAACTTTGTTATATTTACAACTGATAAGCTAAACTTTGTGTTGTAACAGCTGAGAGTGTTCCTCAACATGCTGTAAACCAGGGCTATTCAACTAAATTGCTCCAAGGGCCACAGTTMCTATAGGCCAACAGCTGAGGGGCCGATCATCCAGCAATTAAAGGCATTATGTAAATAAACCTATTACTTTACCTGATAGCTTTGAAATGGTTTATTTTGCTGTACTTAATCATAAATACAACATACAGAACCCTAGAAAAGTAGTGATAATTAAACATTATCAAAATCAACACATTATGCCTCCTGCTAGACACAAATATTATTTTGACAACTCTGACTTGCCAAATTTTTAAACCAATTTTATTTTTACCTTCATAATTTTATATTCAACTGCTTGTAATTTTAGCTGTCTTGAGTGTTCATAGAAATGGTTTTTACCAGCTTGTAGCCAAGATTCTGATGTTTTTGTAGATACCAAACATGTATATGTTTAACTAAAGGACCTTAGAGTAATTAAGGTGGAAAACCGGGGGTTTGGGCTGAAGAGATGAATGAACCAATTGGCGGGCCGAACTTTGGTCACTCGCGGGCCGGGTGTGGCCCGCGGGCCGCCAGTTGAATAGCCCTGCTGTAAGCTCTTAGCACTAACATGCTGTGCAAAATCTCACAAAACAGTATCACGAGATTGTGCTTAAAGTTGTTTACAAATTCAACCAAAACAGCTAAAACTCCACATCTGTAGTAAGTTTTTCTTGTTTTAAAACTCGGGCATGAATGGTGGTGAGTAATATTTGTTCCTTCAAAGAATGCCTGACTTTTGATTTTTTTTCCTTCATGGATTTGGACATTTTCAGCTTTCATAGTGTCAAAATTAATTTTGGACTGCTTTTTGACTTTCTGTTCAGTCAAATTAAAAAAAAATGAATCAATGTTGTGTCAACAAACAGCAGAGAGCTTAACAAAGAACCAATGTTAGCTTAGATATCATCTACAGCAATGATTCCCAACCAGGGGTACCTGTACCCCTTGGAGTACACGAGCATATTACAGGGGGTAGGTATAAAAATAAATACATTTAATGACATTTATTGGGAGGTGAACTCCCAATAAAACAGGTGAGTGAAACAATAGGACTGCGATATGTAGGTTAAAACCCCTACATTTAGGTACAGCATTGCAGAAATTGCAGTCGGAATCACGGAATTAACACAAAATGTAATCCAGTACAAAATGTGGAATCTCACGGAATTTGCTCATTTGGGTGAATTTCTGATGTATTTTGGATGCTGCTGTCTTCTGCACCTACCATTACCTGGTTTATTTATTTAATTATTTATGCACTTTGAAGGCAACATTTTTATCTTCATGTTTAATTTGAGTTGAAACATAAATAAAATGCCTGAGAATTAAATATTCTAGAGGGTTGAATAAATAATTTTCATTTAATAATCAGTTGTTGAACATTACAGCTTTGGAGAGTCAATGGGCCTCATGCAAGAACCGTTCGTACGCACAGATTTGTTCTTAAGTTGTGCGTACGAGTGATTTAGGASAATTTGTGGCATTCACCAATGTTTTCGTATTCTAMGATTTTTTTCAGATACGAACAAAATTTACGAGTGGTCCASACCTGTCGTAYATTTTASSAACAGYCAGTCTGCTGTTATCCAGACGGGTTTTCTTCAYTAATAACYTTATAYTTYGTTAGTTTGAAGATATTTTGAGTTGAAAATAAATCACACTCCATAATTATGTTGACAATAGGCTATTCTGCTTGAATTAGAGTTATAATTTTAAATGTAATAATTTAGACTAACATAAATTGTCCGTTCGTCCGTTTTCCGCCGCCTATCAGGGATCGGGTGCGGGGGCAGCAGCAGAGAGGCCCCCCTCTCCCCTGCTACACCTTCCAGCTCGTCCTGGGGGACTCAAGACATTCCCAGACCAGAGGGGATATATAATCAAGTCCAGGATTTTCTCCAAAGTGCCAGACTTATTTTAAAAACATTTTAAAATGCTTATTTCAGACCCGCATCTGAGACCACCTGCGCCGCGCAGCGGGGTTACGGTGCGCAGCGCTGCGCTGTGTCTTCTGAATACATGAAAATGATTTAACACGGTTGTTTATACTTTTAGCAGCTCTTTTTATCCCACAGCTGAGCTGCTAAACATGACAGATTTTCTTTTCTGGATCTCTGACAGACGGACTTCAATCTCTGAACTCGTAAAGTTTTTATTTTTTCAGTTTTCGCTGTCATTTTTCATGAATGAACACTTGTATCTGAGGCAGGAATCATAGCCTTATATGGTGTTTTTGGGGTGGTAATTATGCTAATCTCCTCTCGCGTGCACGTGCAGCTGGATACGAMCAGGTGGAAWTTACGCAGCTCATTTACGCACGTTTCCAGAAGATAGAAGTGTTTGTTGAATCTGACGTAGCATGTTCGTACGAACCCTTAGTACGAACAAAAGTAGGAGAAATTTAGGATAAGAATACGAACATGTTCTTGCATGAGGCCCATTGCGTTTGACTGAAGGGGTACTAGTGGTATCACAAAATGTCTCAGGGAGGACACAGGTCTAAAAAGGTTTGGAACCACTTATCTAAAGAAGCTAATTTAAACTGGTTTAATTGAGTCACTGAGACACAATTTGTCCCATTTTTATAGTTAAATTTGTGAAAGATAAATTAAACAAAAGGTCTTTGCTAGACCCCCCATTTCTTAAACAGTTTCTGGTTGCCTAAATGGTGAAGCGATAGAAGCTTATGACTTAAATGGCACCTGATTTGTTCATATCCTGGTACCAAGGAGCCGATCCTTCTTTTAATTGTTTAAAGTGGTTTTGATCAATATGTCCACCGACTTCCTGAGGGTATTTCAAAATTKTCTTTGGACTGTTGTTGTTTTTTAACCCACTGTTTGTCCAGTACTAGTAACTTATCAGGACAGCATAATGTTTTTGCTTTAAAAAAAAAAAGCACCATGGAAGATTGTGGAGAAAAAAAGAAAACAAGAAGTGTCAAATTAAAACTCTTTCCACAGCAGAGGAACATCATCTGAAACTTTGTAAAAGTTCAAAGTGTTTGTAAATTTCCCTTCAACTTTTTGTCCTTTATTAGACCTTTATAAGGACTTGTATTTTAGATATTTAGTAATCTGTGAGGCCTGCAGAAAATCAAGCTGATCACAGTGTATTCTCCATCATGACATATATGATGGTGATGACACTGATGATGATGATGATGATGMYSCYSCTCCWATTTTTTRTGTCCTCTGCCCTCTCCCCCTGCYGAGCTTCTCTTTCATGTTGGGGTATTTATAACCAAATCAAATGTTCTTTTGTGCCAACGCCAACATCCATCTCCCCACGCCGGCTATACTCTCTCTGTCAGTACGTGAGTGATGAACGTCTAGGCCCCACTCATGGACTTATGACAAGGCCRCAGCGCAGCACAAAGACACGTGCAGAAACCTAGCTGCTTCATTGTCTGCAGCCGGACAGAGCTTTGTTTTCTGCAGCAGCAGAGTTTAAAAGCTCAAAGCAAAACCAGGGAGGAAACTCAGTCTGAGGTGGGGGGAGGGAAATGAATATATTAAAGCTTAAATGAATTTC